AGTATGTACCGACGAGCGGCCAACAACAAACCAAAACGGCCGAGCGTTCACCCTACATCAGCAGGCCTCAAGGCTCAAGGCCGCGATCACATACCTCCGCGCAGCCTCAGCTCAGATAGCGGCACCCAGCCCAAATGCCCAAAGGTACCGACCCAACCCTCCTTCTCCTCCTCCTCCTCTTCCTCCTCCTCCTCCTCCTCCTCCTCCTCCTCCTCCTCCTCCTCCCCCTCCGCCCAAGGAGGTCGGGACCCTGGAACACCCACGGCGACTACGTGACCCACCTGGCCCGTGTAGACACGGTGCCCAGAAACACCCGCGCCCTTCCTCTTGCCCAAGGGGGGCCGGGCCAGGTGGCACGCATCCATGCGCCTCCGACGACGAGGGGAGAGGAGGAAGGAGGGAACCGGAGGAGCAGGACGAGGATGAGGAGGGAGGGGAACAGTGAAGAAGGAAGGCAACGAGGCCGCTGTCGACTCCCGTCCGAGCCAGGGGCCCCTGCGGGGGCCCCTGCGCCGCCCCTCAGATCCGACGTCGCGAACACAGTGCGGCATCGTGATAAAACGCGAGGAGGGCCCCAGACCCACCCTCCCTGCGGCGTCTCCCGAGGTGGATCGACCCGCGCGGGCATCGCAGCCAGGAGACCTGCGAAAAAACTCTTGGTGCGACCAACAAATTGCGGCATCTGAATCTGGCCCCCTCATCCCCCGGTGGAGGGGGAGGAGGAGGGAGAGGAGGAGGAGGAGGAGGAGGAGGACGAGGAAGAGGAGGACGAGGAGGAGGAGGACGAGGAGGCGGAGGAGGAAGTGGGTCGAGGTCCTCGTCCTCCTACCAAACATCGGGCGTTTCGATTTTTACACAGGACAGGTTGTTCATCTCAGATAATATTTTGACGGCCCCGGGGCCTGGGACGGGCCCGAAATGCCAAAAAAACGGTCAAGAACATCCGTCTCTATGTTTGTCAAAACGCCGCACGTCAGGAGAAGGGGATACGAGGAGGAGGAGGAGGAGGCGGAGGAGGAGGAGGAGGAGGAGGAGGGGGAGGAGGAGGAGGAGGAGGAGGAGGAGGAGGAGGAGGAGGAGGAGGAGGAGGAGGAGGAGGAGGAGAAGGAGGAGATGGAGCAGGAGGAGGAGGAGCGCCAGTGCCTTCATGCGGTTCGTCTAGCTCGGCCGGCGGGCGGGGCCAGGCTCAGAACTGATGGCTAAGCCTGTCCAGGGCGGTCCTGTGGCAGGTCTTGTGCATGGAATATGAAGGGGTTGTCGTAGAGGTTGTGGAAAGCGTGACTTCCAAGTGAAGGTAGTACAGGAGGACGTGGGCTGGCGCGAGAGCTCGCGGGCGGTCTCCTCCGGATAGTTTGCGCGGGCGCCGAGCCCGAGGCGGTGTGGAACCTCCCTGTGCGCAAATTTGGGCGGCTCTGTGACCCAATGGAGGGCGCGACGACATTGAAGGTAGTGGCTGATCTCGTCGAGGCCGTCGTCGCAGCCGAGGAGGCACGTGTGGCGCGTGGGCAAGACATGCATGCGGCAACTCGTGTGCCACCCGCCCGCTAGAGTCCGCAACACAACCCACCGCCAGGCTGGCGGCTGCGAGGCAAGGAACTCCCGGAGACCGTGCCATCGATCTCGTAGACCGTGCGGGGCGCATTCCGTGCCGATCCACGCCTCAGGTCGCTTCCGCAAGGTGTACTCGAAGGTGTCGGGGTAGCACTCTGCTTGGAAATGACGAACAACATCCGGTGAGGGTGGAGACGAACGCCGGCTTTCCCGGACAACTTCGCAACACGTCGTGCCTTCGCGGCGGCCTCCTTGTACATGGGTAGCGTGTTGCCCTTGCTTCCAAGCGGCCTGTCCTGTGAGGCAGCTCGGAGACGCTGTGCGATTGCCGCGCCCATGGTCCAGAAGGTGGGAGACCACGCTCCCACCACGAGTCGAGGAAGACCAACCTGACGAACAGCCACCGCCCCCAGCCGCTGAAGCGCCGATCTCCACGAGGGGACGGTGCACTCCGTTGTGCGCCACAATGCTCCCGCCGCCAGGGCGCGCATCGACCGTACTCAAAATGTTGGGAAGCGCGCGTCGAAGGCGAGGATGTCCGAGAGCCTGAACGTGGACGGCGGCCGCCGTAATACCCTAGCGGTGAGAAAAACTGCACAAGGTATGAGAGGACGGGCAAACACGATGTACCATAGAGCCGCACGTTGGAATCCACGGGCGCGCCCGGCTGTCCAGTAAGGACAGTGCGGCGCCACCATTTGTCAGCCGCATCCCGCCATTGGTCCTCCTCTGTGGCGCCGGGGCCCATAACCGTGCCCAAGCATTTGCCCTCGTCCTCAATTCGGAAGCCCTTCCACTGGGGAACGAGGAACTCCACGACCTGGCGGACTCGGCGGACCAGCCCCTCCGAGAGCGGCGCCCAGAGAGGAATGATGACGCACTTCTTCGGTTGAAGATGTAAGTTGCCAAGCTCGCCAGCATAATCACATTTGCTCGCAAGACGTGGCAATTGTGGGACATTTCGGTTGACCGCCCCGACGTCGTCGGCACAAGCAGCAGCCAGACCGCCATAGTGAAGATCACGGAGGTGAGGGTCCGAGTCCGAGGTCGATGATTTCGAAAACGGACGTGCCGGCCCATCCACTATCGCCTGGCCGCTCGATGGCCCTCCTGGTGTCACGGACGAGGTAGCAACGGTGGGGCTGGTTGGCAAGGTCGGCGTAGCCGTCGGAGTTGGTCTCGGAAACGGGCATACCAGCCGACCCCTTATCAACAGGTCGCTCGGTGGCCCGCCTGGTGCCAGGCCTAAAATCTGGTTTTGGGAAGTACTCTTGGGGATGGTTGGTCAGGTCGGTACAGCCGCAGGGGTAGGCAGCACCGCGGCGAGAGCACGAAGGACCGGATCCATGGCCACCGCCCAAACGCTGCCCGAAAGCGGGCAACCTTGAGCAACACCGCTGGCCAAGACGCACAGAAAGTGATGAACTCCACCAAGCAGTACATATGAAGGGGCCTCAGGACACACACATAAATACACACAAGTAAAAAGATTCCCCATATTTTCACATATTTTCTGGGTTTCTGTCTTCCCCCCCACTTCCCATATTTTCCCATATTTCCCTGGGAGTGGACGATTAATTGTGTCTGTGTGTTTCTTTCCCTCCTGAACATAGCCCTCCGCGTCGGCGCACAGAGGGTGGACCGCACTGAGGACGCCCTGCTGGAATCCGACACGCCTCGACGATCGAAATAACCATTGGCGCCCCAAGGAGGGGAAAGCCGCAGCTACGTCAAACAGCAGGAGCATGGGCATGAAGTCGTCCCCTTCGGGAAGCAGGCCGACCAATCGCGACTCGCAGTCGATCTGCACGATGTTGCGACAGAAGCTCCGGCCTCTGACGAAGCCTTGCTGGACAGAGTGGGCGTGCTCCGCGACGTGGGCCGCCATCTGCGTGTTCATGGTCGAGGCGATGAGCTTGGCGTCGGTGTTCTTCCTGGTGATGGGTCGCAGGGCCCCAGGGTCGCGGATGCAGTTGACGAGGTCGCCTTCCTCCGAACCTTTTGGGGATGAAGGACAATACGGAGTGGCTGAACCCATGAGGGGCTGCGCCGAACTCGGACATGTCCATGGCGACGTCCTCCAGCAAGCCGAAGGCCCCGGAAACGCAGAACCACGCTTTATAAGGTAGCTGGTCGAGACCAGGGGCCGAGTTCCGCGCCAAAGCTGCAGCTCGGCGAAGACTACTTTCCGTGGGCGGTCCCAGAGGTGCTGCTGGAATAGAGGAAGGCATGTGTGCGTCCAGGAAGGCGTCCAGCTTGTCGGCATCAACGGTCTTGTCTGCGAAGATGGACGCCCAGTGCTCTTGAAGTGCTCGCGCAATGCCCTCTGGGTCTTTCTTGACAGACTGGCCATGGGAAAGACGCACACCTCGAAGTAGAAGCCGAGCAGAGAAGGGGGCCCAGAGGCGACTGCATCTCTGCAAATGTCGTTGCAATCGCTGCTGATATTCGGCATTCTGGGTCTGCTGCAACCGGGTCGCCTTGGCAGCGTCCTGTTGGGCTCGTAGCTGAAGGGCGTGAAGATGGCAACGGTGCGCAGCAGCCGCAGCGGTGGCGAAGCAGCCTTCGTCGATCAGAGAGACCTCGGCACCGTCGATGCGCAGGTGCTCCTTACCCAAATCTGTGTGTTGATTGAGTGTAGCTGCGAGCGCCGTGTCCTGTCGAAATCGATCGCATCGTTGCACTTCGTGCCGCCGTGACGTGCTGCCCCTTGGTACCCCCAGGGAGGCTGGTGAGGTAGTTGCGGGTCAGTCTGGCAGCGTTCGTGACGTTGGTCTTCATGATGCGCAGTCGTTGCCCAGCGGTGCGGCCCTCCGTGAGGGATAACGAATGTAAGAGATCGCAATGCGTCTGAAACTGCGGCACCTCGAAGACGAAGTCGGGTATGCTCTGGCGCTTCCCCTCTTTGGCTACATGAAGCCGAAGACGTAGGGATATGACACCGTGGTCGCTCATCCTCTGATCACTGAGCTCCATCGCCTCCCGGTCGACGTGCAAGAGCACCTCGAGGTTGGGGATGGCATGCGATGGCAAACTGATGAAGGCGCGGTCGATGCGGGTGGACGTAAGAGAGTGCCTGTCGAACCGCGTGGGGCGACTGTTTTCAACCTCAACCATGTCCTTGAACAGCCGCCGCCAGGAGGAGGAGGAGGAGGAGGAGGAGGAGGAGAAGGAGGAGGAGGAGGAGAAGGAGAAGGAGGAGGAGCAGGAGGAGGGGGAGGAGGAGGATGAGAAGGTACGAGGAGGAGGAGGAGGAGGAGGAGGAGGAGGAGGAGGAGGAGAAGGAGATGTGAGGAGGAGATGGAGATGGAGATGGAGGAGGAGGAGGAGGAGGAGGAGGAGGAGGAGGTGGAGGAGGAGTATGAATAGTAGGAGGTGGAGGAGGAGGTGGAGGAGGAGGAGGAGGAAGGTCGAGATCCTCGTCCTCCTGCTCCTCATCCTCACCGGACGCTCCTGGCGGCGTCGCCCTGCCAGGCGGCGCTTGCCCGCTGGACGGCCTCCTCCAGGACCTGCGTCCGCGGCCGGGTGGGCTCTCCGCCGCGTTCTGCCCTCCGCTCCGTGACAAATCATGGGAGCCTCCCGTGTCATCGTTGGCGGCGGGCCCGGGTGGAGGTGAGAAGGGGCGGCCCGTTTCTGCCCCGAAGTGCGCTGGCCTCTTGGGAAGAGCTCTGAGCCTTCCCCTGAAGACACGGAACATGTTTCAGAGGGCGCGAGGGCCTCTGAGAAGTCCCGCCGCCTTCTGAGATGGCCTTCTCCCTCGCACTTCCTCCCCGCGCTCGCCGCCGACTCTTGCGAATCGATGCTGGCCGACGCTAATCGGCGCGAATCGATGCCAAATCGATGCTAAATCTGCGATTCCTAATCGATTACCAGACGCTGGCGCACGCTGGTGCACTCTACAAGCGGAAGTGCGAGGGAGCCGGTGAGAAAATAAACGGCTTTCAAGTGAAACATGCCCGGCCGCACCAGCATGTCCTTTAGCCAGGCTCGAGGTGTGTAGCTACATTCTTGGTTCCGGACACATGGGGTCTTTCGTAATGGGGTCGCCAAACCCTGCAATAGTTCGACCTGTGGCTCAAGGCGCGCGTCCTCTCTCACAAACCAACAATGCCAAATGCGACGCCATCTGCCCGCATCCAGCACGATCCGGCAAGAACGACTGCACGAACGATTGCGTACATGTTGAGGCCCCCCCTGCAGGGGACCCACCCGCCGGAACCTGGCACTCGCATCGCACCGCCAGCGAGGCCACGCGAAGCTCCCGCGAGCTGCTGCCGCGCCCCCCGGGCCTCGGCCCTCCCGGCGGCGCCCCGCCTCGACCTCGCGGGACCGCCGCTCCGAGCTCGCTCGACGTGCGAGCGCACCGCCCGACCGCCGAGCGGACCCGGGCTCGGCCGAGCGGCCTGCAGTCGTTGCGCTGCCGCAGAGGACGCCGACCCGAGGAAACGAAGGGGCTCTTCTGGCCACGGCGGGCCTGGGCCACGGACAGGTCCCCCGATCCAGAGCCAGGGAACGGCTCGCAGGCCCGAGGCCCGAGGCCCTCCCGAGCGCGAAGTGACGATCTGTTTTCAGCGCCTCGACTGTACGGTCGGGGATTTGGGGGATGGCGTGTCGCCCTGGCGGCCCAGGCGACACGCCTGGGAGCAGATAGCGTGCCGCTCCGCTCCGCGGGGCGGGGAGGCTCGGAGAGGCTTGGGACTCGAAAGCTGGGAGGTCGGGAAGTGGATAGCGCGTCGCGCCGAGGCGTGGTGGGCCAGAACCGGCGGAGCGACATGCCATCCCAACGTTCCCGACCGTACACTCCCGCGGCCCTGTTGGGAATCGAGCCCGCTCGGCGGCCGAGCGGGCTCTCGGGCGCCGAGCAGGAGCGGGCCCGGAAGGGAGCCCTGGGGCTCTTCAGGGATTGATCAGGGCGCTTCCTGCGCTTGTCGCGACATTCGGGCCTCGAGGGGTCACCAGAGTCCAGGGGCCGCCGGTCTGCGAATGCTGGCGCGCGGGAATCCCCCCCTGCGATGGTCCTGCTCCTCCTGCTCCTCCTGCTCCGCCTGACCCTCCACATCCACGCCTCCTGCTTCTCCTCCTCCTCCTCCTCCTCCTCCTCCTCCTCCTCCTGCTCCTCCTCTTCCTCCGTCCTCACCCCATCTCTACCCTCCTCCTCCTCCTCCTCCTCCTCCTCCTCCTCGGTCTCCTCCTTCCCATCCTTCCCCGGAGGCCTTCTACGAAGGCAAGGAGCGTCTGACACGGGATTGGAGGCTATAGAAGGCGCAGGCTCCTCTTACGTAGGAGGCCCTCTGCGTTCTTGGAAGCTCTCGCCCCCGCGCGCCGCCTTCACCCCCCTCCTCCTCGAGAGCGGGGGACTGTAGAATCGCACCAGGGGTTCAAAAGCGCGCGCGCGAGGCTTTCGCGCTGAGTTCGCGACTGCTTCTGTGCAATCTCTGCGCGCTCTGTCGTCGTCGTCCTCCTCCTTCTCCTCACTCCTCTCCATTGGCCTCTTTTCCTCCTCCTCTTCCTCCTCCTCCTCAGTCTCCTCCTCCCCCGCTTCTCCAGGAGTTTCTTTTGTTTGGATTGTTTCCCCCCACAAAAAAACGGAGTTCTCTTCCAGATTTTTATTTGGGGTGGAGAAAGAAAAAAGGGGAAGCGCCCCCTCCTCCTCCTGCTCCTCCACCTCCTCCTCCACCACCTACTATTCATACTCCTCCTCCTCCACCTCCTCCTCCTCCTCCTCCTCCTCCTCCTCCTCCTCCTCCTCCTCCTCTTCATCCTCTTCGTCCCTTTCTTCTCTTCTCTTGTTTTCTCCTACTCCTCCCCCTCCTCCTCCTCCTCCTCCTCCTCCTCCTCCTCCTCCTCCTCCTCCTCCTCCTCCCTCCCTCCTCCTCCTCCTCCTCCTCCTCCTCCTCCCCTCCTCCTCCTCCCTCCTCCTCCTCCCTCTCCTGCTCCTCCTCCTCCTTCTCCTCCTCCTCCTCCTCCTTCTCCTCCTCCTCCAGTCTCTTCTTCCTCTTTCCTCCTCCTCCTCTTCTTATTATTACTATTATTATTATTATGCTTATTCTTCTTCTTGCTGTTCTTCTTCTTCTTCTTCTTCTTCTTCTTCTTCCTCTTCGACCTCCTCCTCCTCCTCCTTGCTGTTCCTCCTCTCTTCTCCTCCTGCCCCTCCCCGCTCCTCGTCCTCTTCCTGCTCCTCCTCCTCCTCCTCCTCCTTCTCCTCCTCCTCCTCCTCCTCCTCCTCCTCCTGCTCCTGCTACTGCTCCTCCTCCTCCTCCTCTTCCTCCTCCTCCTCCTCCCTCCCCTCCTCCTCCTCCTCCTCCTCCTCCTCCTCCTCCTCCTCCTCCTCCTCCTCCTCCTTTCGGGGGCTCGCATTCGCTCTCGACGAGATTCAAGGCTCTTTGCCCGCGCATGTCGGCCGAGTGGCGGCCGCCTGGACGTCGATGGAGGCGGGCGCGAGGAGAGCGAGGGGGAGTGTTTTGGGGGGGGGTGTCCTCCTCCTCCTCCGCGCTGCTCCGGTCCCTCCTTCCTGTCTCCTCCGCCCTCCTCCTCCTTCCCCCAGAACCAGCCGCTTTTTATTGAGATGCTTCGAAAGAACGAAATACCCAAGTTGGCATTGGTTTGGCCATGGTTTGGTATCGCAGTGGCGCTGCGTTAGCATAGCGCTTGGCAGTGCGTTGGCATAGCGCTTGCATGTCGCAAGCAATGCGCTGGCGGGTGCTAATGGAACCCTCCACAAAAGGGCTCATATTGAAACCATCTACCACAAGGACTCCCAAGGAAACCCTCCACAAAAAAAGGTTTATATTGAAACCCTGCACGGAAGGATTCCATGCGACGCCCTCCACAGAAGGATTCCTACTGGAATATATCACACATGCTTCCCCCATGGACATTGCACTGACATTGGTTTGGGATCGCCTTGGCATTAGTTTTGCGTTGCGTTGGCACTGTTTTGGCAGTGCGCTGGCATTGCGATGGCGAGTTCCAATACCTCCCTTCGCAGGATGATTGCTATTGAACCCCACACAAAAAGGATTCCGATTGAAACAGCGCACAAGAAGGGTTCATATTGAACCCCTTCTAAGCAGGATTCCACTCGAAGCCCTCTACGAAGGAGTTCTATTGAAACCGATTACAGGAGATTTTCCCCAGGCATTTCAGCAGCATTTGATTGGGACTGCCATGGCATTGGTTTGACATTGCGTTGGCACTGCTTTGGAATTGCGCTGGCGACTTCTAATGCCTCCCACCACAGAAGGATTCATATTGAAACCTTCCACACGAATGGTCCCCCACATGAAGGGTTCATGGTGAAACCCTTAAAGGAAAAGATTCCTGCCGAAACCCTCCACCAGGAGATTCCGATCGACATCCTCCGAAGAAGGATCCGTAACCACATCATATACATAAGGATTTTTGTTGGAATGTGTTGGGAGACTGGAACCCCGCCATCGGCGTGGCATTGGCATTGGTTTGGTAACGGCTTGACATCACATTGGCATTGCGTTGGCATTGCGATGGCAGTGCGTTAGCCGTGCGTTTGCAGTGCGATGGAATTGCGCGAGTCCCAAGCAAACGCTCCACATAAGGATTCCGATTGACTACGTCCACAAGAATGATGCCTACAAGGATTAACATTGCAATCCTCCACAGAAGGGTTCCATGCGAATACGTCCACAGAAGGACCTCTATTGAAATCCTCCAGAGAAGGGTCATTTGAAGGATTCCTGTGGATGGCATCATCCACAGAAGGGTTCTTAGAAGGATTGCAATTGAACGCTACCACAAGCAATCCACCCCATTGGCGCAGCAGTGGCATCAAGTTTGGATCGCCTTGGCTTTGGCTCGGCATGGAGCTAGCACTGCTTTGGCACTGCGCTGGCGAGTCCTAGTGGCCCCGATTGAGTCCTGGTGAGCCCATGGGCTTCGCAGAGAGATTCCGATTGAAACCCTCCACAAGCAAGGTTCCTTTTGGAATAGTTAACCAAGCATTCTCCCCTTTGGTATTGCATTGGCATTGGATTGGGATCGTCTTGGCATTGGTTTGGCATTGCGATGGCACTGCTTCGGCATTGCGTTGGCATTGTGCTGGCGAGTCCTAATGGCTCCCTCCGCAGAAGGACTCCTACTGACCTCCCACAAGAGGGAGTCCTAGTGAAACCCTGCACAGGAGGATCCCTATCGAAACCCTCCACAGAAGCATTCCTGTTGAAATCCTCCGAAGAAGGATTCGTAATGACACCATCCACAAAGGATCCTGATTGAAACCCACCGGGCGAAAGGATTCCCACATTGGCATTGCATTGGGCACTGCTCTGGCATTGCGTTGGCATTGCGCTAGCGAGTCCTTGTGCCTCCCTTCGCACAACGACTCTCATTGAAACCCTCCAGAAATATGATTCCTTTTAACATCTACCACAAAGGCCCCTCCCAATTGGTATTGCATTGGCATTGGATTGGGATCGCCTTGGAATTGGCTTGGCATTGCGATAGCACTGCTTCGGCATTGCGCTGGCGTTGCGCT